CGCATCATGACACTTTACAGCCTTGCGTCATCTCTCGTACATACCGCATCATGACACTTTATAGCCTTGCGTCATCTCTCGTACATACCGCATCATGACACTTTACAGCCTTGCGTCATCTCTCGTACATACTGCATCATGACACTTTATAGCCTTGCGTCATCTCTCGTACATACTGCATCATGACACTTTACAGCCTTGCGTCATCTCCCGTACATACCGCATATTTAATTCTTATACTTTATTTTTTATTTTACTTAATTAACCATATTTTAATTAAGTTTGTTGTTCAACGGAATGATTAACTGTTATTAACTCAGATAATTCATTTCATAAAGATCGCGACTTTTTCCAGAACATTTGTGATGTTCTCCGTTTTTCATGACTTTTCTAAGCCTAGAAATTAACTTTGATATTTTCCAGGACGCGTGGATACCCGCTGGTAACTTCACTTGCAACGTGTGTTTCTTTGAAAACATTGGATTAGAGCAGATATAGTGTGGTTGGCAAGGACGCGTGGATACCCGCTGGTAACTTCACTTGCAATGTGTCTTTCTTTGAAAACATTGGATTAGAGCAGATATAGTGTGGTTGGCATTCTTCTTTACTTACACTCAAATGTGTTTATAATTAACTTTATTTTAGCATGCGTGCTGACATCACATGCCTGTAAATGTAGGCATGAAGAAACACACTGCCGGAAAGAAAAACCAATGTTTCGACACAACGGCCTTCTGCATTTCGCAACTTCCTAATACACAAGGAACGAAAATAATACCACGCGAGTGAACGATCTATAGTTGGTATTGTTCTTCTAGGATGCACAATTCCAGAGACATTATTAGTCATAGCGCGATTCGTGGCAATTTTGATGACATCGTGTTTCAATTAGACATAAATTAGAGTTAAGTGTGTATTCGACCATATACTCTAACTAATAAAACAATAGATACCTAATAACGCTTACAGAAGTGTTGTCAAACACTGAAGTAGTGAGAGATGTTCTATACTGTTCATGTTAAAAATACAAAACTATCAAATCAAGTAGTTATGTATTAATACACTAGAATTAAAATTATGAAAACTGCAAAAACTTTTTAAATCAAAAAGAAAATGTTCTTCCTCATTTTCAGGTTACTATTATGAATACCTTTAATGAAAATCAAAATGTCACCCTTCTCATCAGCCATAAATGGTTTAAAAATGTATTTTCAATATGACGATTTCAAGTTTCATGATTTTATCCCTACAAGAATACTGGCAATTTACGTAGTAAGTTACTTCCCGTTAAAGAATAAGGTGTCTTAAATAGGAAATTACAAGCCATATATTTTTCATACGGGTAATAATAGATATATTTTGTTATAAAACACTTTGTAATTCACATTTTGACACAGATGCGTTAAAACAATGTGTAAAAAGTCAAATAAATGAATAAGCTTACCATAAAAATGAACAGTCAACTGCGCACACTGCCCATCCAGTATATCGTGGTGAGACTGCGCGTCCTGTTGTACCAGCCAATCTGACATGTTCAGTAGCTCCCGCATGTGTTCCATAAACCTGGCGCTAGTGTTAACAGAAAACTTTGCTTAAGCAAACTTTAAACTTAAAGCTTCACAAATCAGTAACAAATTAAGAACACAAAACTGAAGAAAAAAAATACAACTAAAAACTATAACCAATCTTTAATATGTTGCTATATTAAATGCCTTACATAAATTTTAATTAATGGCAATATCTTAAATAAGTACTAGTAAACTGGGTCACCAAAAAGTGAATATTAACTAGAACTAACTTTAATAGAAATGAAGATAACTGATTATCTTGATCAGGTATAGAAAGAGTTGAGTACGTTATATTAAAACGATTTTGCATATACAAATTAGCAAGTCACGTGACAACCAAAGCCGATATAAAGTCGCGGTGGAACGACATATATAACAGGTACTGTGATGCCACTGAAAATTTGTCACTTTTGAGGAGGGTATTTAACAGCCCTTTCTGATGCAAAATATTCATACACCTATAATATAAAGGTGTTCGGATCATGAATTTAGAATTTAAAAGACAGGAATAACTCTTGTATTTAATGACATTAGAATACAAAAGAATGTGGATGAGCTTGGGGCACCAGGACCATCCAAAAAGAGACCTGCAACAAGTCGCAGCCCAGCCTTCGTAAGTTAAGTGCGACATCTTATAACAGGTGATGCTCCTTGAACATAAAGGTCAGTGGCAAATGCCGTGAACGATATATCCGTTCAACAGTCGCATACCTCAAACCCGGAGAATGAAACGGATATTCATGCTGTTCGATGCAAAGACACACTGGTCAACTTGCCTCTGGATATTTATGCGATCGAACTGTTGAAATGGGCACTGAAAAACCGTCGTTCTCGCAAACTAGATTATAGAAAGCATGTCAGGAGGAATGAGTGAGTGGAAAAAAAAGGTAACAAAAACTAGCCCCAGTATGTCTCACTATCTTACAACCCTCTGTTAACATTGCTATCTTGACAATGAAAAGTGTGTGTGTGTGGAAAGAAAGGGTAGGGGTAACAAAACGTCTCTTAGACCATACACTTAATACATATCTCAAAATTCATCAGTTTTTGTAATACCATTTTAGCGGATATACGTTTTAACATACTGAAATGCTCACTGTTAACTCTGTAAGCGACATAAGAAAAGCAGCTTTACCTGGTAAATCCCGGATGTTTCCGGACAGTCACATGTTTCACAAGATGAAGGTCATATTTGATATTGGCACAACCTAACTTGTTATTACTTCCACCTTTTGAAAAGATAACGACAGACCTCCCCATAACTGAAAATATGTATACTGAGTTAATGTTTTTGAAATATCATGTACTATTGTGTTTTACACACTATATTAATAAACATATTTTTCATTAAATTTTAATTGTAAATCTCGTTCAATAAAAGCTTAATGTCATGCAAGTATCAAACTTATTAAAACACGGAGAGAAAAAAAATAACACTGACAATATTGTAATGGCCCTAAACTGCACAAAACTCGTAATAAATAGGATTAGTATAAGGTCATGTAACAAACAGAATTTGACAAAGTTAGTTTCATTTTCCGACCTACCTGAGTAGTTGCCCACCAGAGGGAGGTTGACGTCTGTAAAAACTCTCCTTTTTCCTCCAACCTCCAGTGTTCCGTGACGACTTGTCATGTCTCCCATTTCACAACGTAGTGGGTTGGCTGGCCCACAGTCTCGTTTGTAAGATTCCTTTGGCCAAATCAATAACACAGGACGGATTATTTCACCTGATGTTCGGTTTTAAAACATCTTACAACTATGTTTATATTTGTATTTATTTTGGAGATTATTTGTGTTTACATAACAACAGATACCTAATTGCTCTTTCACTGTATACTGTGTTTGTTATTTAATTCAGTGTATTAGTGCGTGTTTAGTAAAATAGTTAATTCATCGAAAATTAATTCACATAATTTGGTTTACTCGTTAATCTAATTCTTGTGCGTTGTGAGTACATGGTGGACTACTCCACTATACTGAATTACAAGGAATTGACAAATACATGTACGTTGCATCTTGAGAGACTTTAAAAACTAAAAGATGAACTTGGAATGACCGAGAGAGGGCGAAATGAGGTTTGTTTTTAAGTTACTTTTCTCTGGATTTTCTTCGTTCTGGATTATGAAAGGAGACTGGAGAATTCCTAACGACAGGTGTAATTGTAAAACAATGGTTAAAAAAAATGTAGTGGTTCATTTGATGAAAATATTCCAACTTCTAAACACGTGAATCTCTTTCAGGATGTATTATGTCAGCTAATGTCATGAAATTACTGATACAATAGCTTTAAAACAGGTTACAGTGCTACCAAACTACCGTGCACGACGGCTTAATAATTACTACAATCGCTTCCAAGCATTCAAAGAATAGAGATATCGCATTTTTTTCCGAACGGTTTACACTTATTAATGTCAGTGGCACATCACGTACTTCTTGTACGTATCTGATAACACATCCTAATCACTCGGTGCATGACGCAAACCGTATAGTACATACACTCGTGGAAACAACAGCCGAAATTAAACTTCCTTTAAAAAGTGAATATTAAATACAATTTTCTCAAATTGAACTGAATCTTAGGAACTTTGGTAGTTTCTGGGAAACCCGCCAGTTCGAATTCAAACTAATGCATTTTATTTTCTAGGCCAATTTCGCTTTGACCAGGAGTATTTCTTTCTTGCAACTTTTTAGCATCTCAGGCTGAGAAGCAGTACAGGCTTAATTAATGTTCAGAGAAAAAAAATCTTCCAAATTATCAACAAACTATTGTGATACGTATGAATGACCACTTTTTTTTTCACATGAAGCTTTGCTAACGCATTGTTTTACATGACGTTGCTGGTTTTCTTACCGACCATATATTTTCGTGGTAACTGTGGTCTTCCGATCTTATCCGGTTGCTGTGTTGTAATCGCGAAACGTTAATATATTTGATTGATAGTCCACAGTTGTTAAGTGATTATCACAGCTGCATCGTCCGTGATTATATAGACATTAACCAGTTTATATTACATTAAGATATCATGGGTCAGAAGAAAATTTCGGATATGTTTGCGCAGGGGCGGTGCCATTCTCTACCCAGCGAGGGGACTGATGTGGGCTAGACAAAAAAAAAACTGAGGGGCAGTACTCTACATCTTGTGGGCACACACACACACTGTAGTAGTCAGGAAATGACCCAAAGGCACATTTCGGATAGTGTCAGCCCCAGCAAGCGTGCCCTCACCGCCGCCCATGTTTTTGCGACAGCAGGGGGAAAGTGGAAGAAATTAAACGGCAGCGAAGCCACTCTTGTAAAAGAAACTAACAATATTGTCTAGGAATGCAATAATTGTCCAGTTGTTCTCACTCATTGCTATTTGAACAGAAAATGTTTTATATGCTGACAAAACATTGCATCCACCCCTGTAATGTTCCTGAAATGACGCCTCTGACTTTAAGCCTTACACGTTGTTCAATATTAAGTAAATATGTGCAAGTTGCCCGTGTAGCATAGTCATCACCCTTGTAAGAGGAATTTATTCTGAGGAAAGTAACTTTTCGCTACTTCAGTTCCACTGTGGTATACATAACTGAAGTAGCGAAAAGTTGAGACAAGAACATCAGCATGTTGATAGTTTCGTTAAGTGTGTTCCACTGTGGCATACATAACTGAAGTAGCGAAAAGTTGAGACTACCACTGTGGTATACATAACTGAAGTAGCGAAAAGTTGAGACAAGAACATCAGCATGTTGATAGTTTCGTTAAGTGTGTTCCACTGTGGCATACATAACTGAAGTAGCGAAAAGTTGAGACTAAACACACTTAACGAAACTATCAACATGCTGATGTTCTTGTCTCAACTTTTCGCAACTGAAGTAACACTGTGGTATACATAACACACTTAACGAAACTATCAACATGCTGATGTTCTTGTCTCAACTTTTCGCTACTTCAGTTATGTATACCACAGTGTAACACACTTAACGAAACTATCAACATGCTGATGTTCTTGTCTCAACTTTTCGCTACTTCAGTTATGTATACCACAGTGTAACACACTTAACGAAACTATCAACATGCTGATGTTCTTGTCTCAACTTTTCGCTACTTCAGTTATGTATACCACAGTGTAACACACTTAACGAAACTAT